GAGACACGCAGTCCTTCATCAGGGAGAAATTGAGGAGGGATTTAACTCAACCGTTTTCCCCACCGCGATGCCACAAACTGGGATGGCTTTTTAAAAAGAGAAGACTGACCCTCCTCGTCTGGCCATAGCCACCAGCGCGGGAGATTCTGACTTTTATTCTATCAATGAGATAATGTGGAGCGGCCTCCACCGCCCGCTGGTAACGCAGAAAAAAACCCACAAGATGGAAGAAGCCAGTTCAACCGAATGGGGGGGACAGCTCGCCAACCAAACAGGGGGCAGTAGCGGATCCGGCATCCACTCTGATCGGGATGCTTTTAATTGGCCAGCCGTTGGTTTGTCGTGTGTGTGGTGTGCGTGTGTGTGTGCTGGTGGTGTGTGGTGTGTGTGTGTGCGTTTAACTGCTCAGTGTTGTATAAGGTCACAGTTGGCAGTGGTGAAGCGTTCCTGTGTGATTTGATTGGAGCTCAGCAGGGGGAGGAGCCGTATCCGCACACATGATGAGTGGAGGGAGCGGACATGGTACCCAAGAGACGGAGCAGGGCTTGCTGCCCGCTGACCAATCCAATGAGGACAAGCAAAAAGGGCGGCTCCCCCCACACACACACATCACACACTCCCCCCCCTGTAGGAGGGAGAGGGAGGAGGGTGGGGGGGAGTCAGGAGACACCGAGATCACCCACGGGCCACTAACACATTCTTGCAGGTGATATGGCTGAATATGTGTTTTGTAGGTCAAAGAGGGGAAACATGGCTTCTATTTCCTTCCCAGGGGCAAAGATTATGGAAGTTTAGTTGCTTGTGACGTATTTAATACTATTATATATTTTGCTAATTTCACCTTTATTTTTAAGAAAAATAAGTGTTATGGCGTCTACGTTAATCGCAGTATCACGGAAATCGCCAGTCTGCTGCTCTTTGTTTTTACAAATCTGATTCTGCAGATGTTTGTTTTTGGTACAAACTCCAACAGATTTCACATCATCAATCAGTTTAATGGTAATAAATAAATGTCTAATCGCACATCGTTACACAAAATATCTGCTTAATATCATCCAGAAGGTGGCGTGTGGACATTGGCGTAACCATGGTTACCGGAAGCAAACTTCGGGGCTTTTTAAAGAAAATATTTTCTACCTTTCTGTGTCTAGGTTGCTTCTGTCCGGGAGAGTTAGCAGAGCGGATCGATACCACTCTCACTTCTAGCAGTTAGCTTCGCTTAGGCATAAAGATTGGAAGCAGGAGGGAAACTGGGCTAGCCTGCTTCGGTTCAAGCATGACCTAATATTTTAATTAGTGAGCTTTTTAGTGAGAGGGGTATCGATCTTCTCACGGGCTAACTCTCATGGCAAGAAAGTGATACATTTTTCCCAAACGTCAAACTATTCCTTTAAGATGATGTATTCAGTAATTACGACTACTACTGACTTTAATTGGCTATTAAAGTTTAGCTTTCGATTACAAATCTGGAGGACATTGAGAAAAGAGAAGATGAAAATCTGTGCGGGTCTGCAGTCTTTTTCGGTTGGCAGAATTAGACACATCGGTGGGGGTGTCATCTGCATAAGGACAAGAGGGGTGATTTAATTGTTTTGATCAATTGGTTGGGGTTTAACGGGAGGCATTTAAATGGCTGGATTAAAGAGCTCCCAGAGATGAGCCCTGGGAACTCCTATAAATCAAATATAGTGGTTAGGACTGTTTCTGTGGCGTTCTTGGTTAGTTTTGGGTAAAAGTTTTTTGTGTTTGAGGAACCCAGAACCTCTAGGGAAGATACCTACACCTGATGATTGGAGGAAAAAGGTGCTTTTAATAAACCAATAAAGTTACAGGTTAATGATTTTTTACTCTTTCGGTGTCAAGCTTCACAAATCAATGCTTTTTAATCCTGGAAAGTTTCATTTAGTGCTCACACCACTGTAACATATCAAACACGGCGCCGCATTCACGGGGTTGAACGCAGGGGAGGATTAATCCCAGTAAATCTCAAACTGCACTAAGCTGCATCAGATAGTCATGCAAATGTAAGAATGCTTTAGATTTGGTGTTGATTTATTTGGTTATCGGTGGGTTGTGTCTGTTTGTCCTGCGGAGGCCTGATGCTACAGATAAAATTCTAGAGTTTGTTAATCTCTCAGTCGGGACCCGAGGCCGCTGGAATTACCTCAAAAACACACACGAGCTCTAATTTATTATTGGGATGTAATGGAATAAATGCATAAGAAATAAGTCAGATATTGTTTGGTGGTAGTGTTCTGTATGAGAAGCTTACAGACTGGATCTTTAACGATCATTATATATTGATTTTTTCTGGATAATTCTCCATAAGGCTTGGTCATTTGATCTTTCTGGATAAAGGTCCATTTTATGCACAATTTGATATAATATAATTATAAATACTTATATAATTCACAATACTAGAGATTCATGATACAATTTTCTACAGTTTTCTACAATTTGTATTTTCTTTGTAAAGATTTTTTATTTACAGATGTTCTCTTTTTACAATTGCAGTTTCAATATATAGAACTTAAATAATAATAATAATAGTAATAATAATAACCAACTTAAATATTGCATATTACTGATGAAAAACCAACAACAAAAACAACTATACTGAAACTATACATAAATAATTACAAATAATTTACAGTAATACATACCAATAATGATAACAAGGACTGACAATTATAATAATAATGATAAAGAAGACATAAAATAAATTAAATAAAGTAATAAAGACATATAATGACTGAAAAAGATTTCTTCATAATAGAACAATAACTATGTATCTTTATTAAATTATATAATCCTTTTTATTTCTTTAAGTAGGTGGTTTAAACTGTGCAAAACAATTTTATTTGTGGTGGTTGTCCTTGATATTTTACGATATATCACATATTTTACCGGTCTCACAATGTATCTTACTCTTTCAAGAAATAGTGCAACTCTAATTTGACCTTTACCAGAAACTCACGATCAGGTGAACGGTTGGGACGTTCACTGATATTGTTTGTTCCCTCTTTGAACCTGCAGGCTGACCTGAACCCCGAAGCCAGGGAGTCCAGAGGTGTTACTGCAGCTTTAGCTCTTCAATAGCTCTCGTTAAGTCTTTGTCTATAGTTATTATTGGGGTCGGACCCCACCCATACTTGTAACCGAAAGTTCCAACGTCATATGTCACACTGCGCCTTTGGCAACTTGGATCAGGTGGTTGTTTAACCCTTGTAACTGTTGATAACCTTTAAAAGCAGAATCACTTGCTGGCTGAGTCAACGTCATTCAAGGAAAAAAACAGGTTGGATTTGTGGCTGTCGCCGCCTGGAAGAGCTCGCTCCGTGTTTTATTAAAAGCATACATTGCTGAGGTTGGTGTAAGGTGCACTATAAACCTGTTTGTTTTGCTTGGCTGGCGGCGTAACTGGCGGAACGCGGGCACAGCTGAAGGGATTTTGTGTCAAAGCTATGTTGTACCTCGCTCACCACACTCACACTGCAGGAGAAGCGCTGGGATACAAATCAATGAAAAAGGTATTACTGCAGCTAATGCCCAACAGAGGTGGACTTGGGGCAGGAGGTAGCAGAATCCCTGGAGGAATTCACCATTTACTAAAAAAAAATTACAGGGAATTTGTGCCTTACTGAGCTCGAAGGGAAGAAAACTGTAAAAGCATTTTAACAGATAAAACCAACCAATTATTTGCAAGTATATAAACAGGGAAAAAATGCCAGGTGCTTGTTTATTCCCCTTCATCTGCCGGGGAGAGCCGGGAGCACCAGAGCCCAGTGAGCATAAATTCCCAGGTAATGAGTTCTAACTTGGTATTCATAGAAGCCCGAACAGCAGGGGGCAATTAGTATCATATTTAGAGGGTAGAGGCCTCCAACATGACGACTCGCTGCTGGGCCACACAGGTAATGGTGACATTTCTCGTGACCTTGGCAGCCGCGTCACCCGGTTGCGTTGAGGGTTGCGGGTTCCTTTATGTCACACGATTTAAAGAATTAATAAACCACAACAAACCAAATGTTTATGTTTCCAGGGTGCAGTTCAGAATCAGGGAATACTTTGGTTGATCCCCCCCGGGGGGGAAATATTGTTCGTTACAGTTACAGTCACACAACGCTTAAAGAACTTATACACAATTCTTAACACAATGTATAGAATGGAAATTAATTATAGGTAATACATAGAGTAAAGTAAAAATAAAAATGGAAATAGACATATAATAAGAGCCTAATATACAAAGAAATGTAAATCTATTGGCCACCGGTGATTGCTGACAGACAGGTGGTTTCTAACATCTGGTGGTGTTGCCGAAGTTATGGATAGTTACAAACGAATGAAATGAAAAGTGTATTGCACCTTAATCGACTTATTGCACATTAACAGCACCAGTTTAGTGACTACTGACTCAGGAGTTTTAAAACAGTATTCATAATTATATTGTTTTTTTAAGATTATTTAAACCATTTGTACAATGAAAAAAAAAAAACTAAAATAATTGCTAATTTTGACTTTTATTAATTTTAAAAGTAGTAGTGAAGTGGCATATAACAGTTTATCTTAACTGGCCTGAGCAGGTTAAAAAGCTCTTAACTTCTAAAGAACATTGTTTCCTTCGTTAATTTTGAGCTATTTCTTTGTCTGTTATCGGGAAAACTGATCCCAGATCTGGACATAAAAGGATCAACATCAATGAGCTCCCTCACAACCTCTTTGGGACTGTAACTGGGAGCATAACATGCTACACGCAGGCTACATATGCGCATCATTTAATTTGATAGGGTTGCCCTGATTAACGATTACCTTCTGGAGTCGTGGTTCGATTAATATATTTTGGATTTTCAGTATTAGATAGACTGAATTAATGGGGGCCGATATCTGCCATTTTTGAGATAACTGCCGTTGGACGCTGTCTGCCGCTCGTCAGGGGGCCGATGTATAAAAAAAATGTTGTTACAGTGCTACAAATCTCGAGAGAGAGAGAGAGAGGAATCGGTCCAGCATCTGTGGGTCGGAGCGGATGACAGAGACACGCAGTCCTCATCAGGGAGAAATGAGGAGGATTTAACTCAACGTTTCCCCACCGCGATGCACAAACTGGATGTTTTTAAAAAGAGAGACTGACCCTCCTCGTCTGCCATAGCCACAGCGCGGAGATCTGACTTTATTCTATCAATGAGATAATGTGGAGCGGCTCCACCGCCCGCTGGTAACGCAGAAAAAAACCCACAAGATGAAGAAGCAGTTCAACCGAATGAGACAGCTCGCCAACCAAACAGTGGGCAGGTAGGGATCCGGATCCACTCTGATCCGGATGCTTTTAATTGGCAGCCTGGTGTTGGTGTGTGTGCGTGTGTGTGTGTGTGCGTGTGTGTGTGCTGCGTCTGTGTGTGTGGTGTGTGTGTGTGTGTTAACTGTCAGTGTGTATAAGGTCACAGTTGCAGTGTGAACGTCTGTGTGATTGATTGAGCTCAGCAGGGAGGAGCGTATCCGCACACAGATGAGGAGGGAGCGGACATGGTACCCAGAGAAGCAGGGCTGCTGCCCGCTGACCAATGAGACAGCAAAAGGGCGGCCTCCCCCCCCCCCCCCCCC